ATGACTCTTTTGCGTGTGTTATTGCCGTTGATCACGTCCAGTCCTGTTTCATTCTAAGCCCAAGCCACTGAGCTGCCGCCACTGCCCTTATCTCGGAACCCGGAAATCACACACGCACACAGGCCACGTCCTGCCTCGTCACGCGTAGATGCCAACGGCCGGACTTGTGCGGTATGGGATGCCGCCGACATTCAGGGGCTCACCGGTCCAGCATCGACATTGACCTGTCACAATTGCAGGATTATCAATGACTTTTCCGCTACGTCGTATCGTGCATAACGCGGGGGAATGTTGATGAACAATTCCGCCGCATGCGTTGTGCAGGTCTTACAACGGAGCGGTCAAACAAGTCTAGCTACTGGGCATAGCAGCATTCACAACTTACAACCCTCTTTACTTCCTACAACACGCCATAACCCCCGGAAAGCAAAACAAGTCGTACGATTGTCAACTGATTTCCCTGGCCACAGATGGACACAAAGTTTGATATGGACGTCAACGAGACGAAGACGGGCGAGCCCCTGAGGACCATCGATTCCACGGCCGACAACGTTAACGCTATCTCCGATGAAGATCGCCTGGCGCAGCTTGGACATGCACAGGAACTCAAGAGGCAGTTCTCGCTGCCGACTCTCGGGGCACTCTGCCTCTGTTTGATGGCAACATGGGAGGCACTCTCAACTGTCGTCGCTCAAGCTCTCTTGAGCGGAGGTGCACCTTGCCTCTTCTACAACTAGTAAGTTGAGATGATGATTTTTTTCCCCTGGCAATAGACTTACAAGTGCTTTAGTGTCCTATCCTTCGTCTGTTCTGTATGCATTGCAGCATCGTTGGGTGAGATCGCATCCATTTATCCAACTGCAGGCGGTATGTCCCAATATCTCAAAAGCTCCTCACGATGTTTATGACGGTCTAACGAGGTGACCTCAAGGACAATACCACTGGGTTGCCGCTCTATGTCCCCCAAAGACTCGGTCGCTTGCAGCGTTCACCACTGGCTGGATCTCTGTCGGTGGCCTCACAGTCTTTTGCGCATCAGCTGCCTTCGCCGCAGGGTTGCAAACACAAGCTTTGATCATATTGAACGATGATTCATATGTACCTCAGCGCTGGCAGGGGATGCTGTTTTACTGGGCAGTTCTTCTCTACTCCTCTGCACTGAACATTTGGGGTTCAAAGATGTTGCCCCACGCGAACATGATCTCCGGTACGACCGCAAATGCTCATGCTCGATATGCACGCTGACTAACTTTTGAACAGGGGTTATACACGTCGTGGCATTTATCGCAATTCTCATTGTGCTCGGAGTCATGGCTTCGAAGAATACTTCATCATTTGTCTTCACTGAGTTCGTCAACAGCAGTGGATGGACTAATGATGGGGTATCATGGCTTGTAGGGCTCATCAGTGCAGTGTATCCCTTCCTTGGGTAAGTCTGTCCCTTTCGACAGATCCTGTGAATATTCACTGCAGATTAATAATGCACTTACTAACAAATGCATTTTGAAAGATATGATGCAGCCTGTCACATGGCAGAAGAAATCCCCAACGCCACTCGAAACGTTCCAATCGCCATGGTAGGCAGTGTTGTCGCCAACGGCCTCATGGGTCTCGTATATGTCGTTGTTCTCCTCTTCTCTACGGGATCTCTCGAAACGCTGTTAGCCACCCCGACGGGGTTTCCCTTCATGCAGATATATCTCGATACCACGAAGTCAAGGGCCGGAGCAACTGTTATTTCGCTTACCTTGATCACGGTAGCCGTTGCAGCAACAGTAGGCTGCATCACGTCTACTTCTCGCACTCTGTGGGCTTTCGCGCGAGATAAAGCAGTGCCCTTCGATGCCTTCTTCAGCCATGTCCACAAAGACCTTCAAGTCCCAGTGAGGGCGATAGCTGTGGTTACGATCATGCAGCTCCTGCTTGGATTCCTCTATCTTGGGAACACTACAGCCTTCAATGCTGTTCTTTCCATGGCGATTATTGGTATTTATCTTTCCTACAGCATCCCAATTGCGTACATGCTTCTTGTTGGACGGAATAGATTGACGCGCAAGGAATATGGACCTTTCAGACTTTGGGGATTTCTGGGCCCTGTGCTGAACGTCGTGAGCCTAGTATGGATGACGGTCGTCATTATCTTCAGCACTTTCCCATCTGCGCAACCTGTAACGGCCCAGAATATGAATTATTCTACTGTGGTTATGGCCGGTTGGGTTGTGTCTGGACTCTGTTACTATTTCGCTCGCGGCCACGCAAAGTTTGAGGTTCCTGTTGTCATCTCCGAAGTTGTTGAGGGAGTCGGGGATATTTGAACGATGCTTTTGCTTTTGTCACTTGTGGTTTTGGATTAGGAATCGCCTTTCGCAATTAAAATGGAAACAAAGTCTCGTAAGAGTCTTTGCCTCACGCAACTCTGAGCTCAGCTGAGTTGGTAAATTTCACAAGTTGACAGATGCATTCTACAATGACCATGAGATACTTGAGACCCACAACCAGTGCAGTGCGCCAGAAGAATATCAAAGTAGGTCTTTGCATTCAAAGTTGACACAACTGACACACGAAATTCTTGTCTCTGATGAATACAACACCTCGAATGAACATGTCACAAAACAATTGCTCGAAAAATGTCAGTTGGAATTCCTACTCATTTGAAAAGCTTGCATTCTCAAAACTCAAAATAGGTTTCTTTGAGTCTTCTCGGTCACTCACGTTAATACAATCTCAATTTGGGGCTTAAGTCTTCCGATGACCAATGGTTAAATATTCAAGTATTCCTCCAAGTACCAACTTATTCTGGACGCCTGAAATGCCTCGCCAGACTTGACCAACTATCTTCGCTGTAACCCTTCTGGACCTTCTGGCAAGTTTCCAGACCCCATTCCGTGACCCCAACCATAAGTGAGCTCTCAAACATGAACGCCATGCTCCCCTCGCCAATCTTCTGTGGCTTCAGCTCTGCGTTGGAGGCCCGCTCAAAAGTGCTTGCATCAGGGCCATGAGCGGACATGACATTGTGCAAGCTTGCTCCCGCGGGACGGAAGCCCCCGCCAGTCTTCGCGTCGTAGTCACCACAAATCAGGCCCATGAACTCGGACATGGTATTGCGGTGATACCAGGGAGGACGGAAGGTGTCTTCCTGTACTAGCCATCGGGGTGGAAAGATAACGAAGTCGGCGATAGCAGTGCCGGGATGGTCAGACGGGCCTGTGAGGACGGTGTAGATTGACGGGTCTGGGTGGTCGAAGGAAATGCTGCCGATGACTGAGAACCGACCCAGGTCATATTTAAAAGGGTAGTATTTCCCATGCCACGCCACAACATCGAATGGCGTGTGTTTCTGCTTAGCGACAAAGAACGACCCATTGAATTTGTTGACGATGGACCATTCGGACTCATCTTCGTCGAATGCTGCAACGGGAATCTGGAAGTCTCTGGGGTTTGCCAGACAGTTTGAGCCTATGGGCCCAAGCTCTGGCAGAGTGAAGTGACCTTGGTGAAGCTCGAGGATGTAGCCTCTGACAGGGCCTTCCGGAAGGTTGATCTGGTATCGAATACCCCGTGGTATGACGGCAATTTCATTGGGGCGGACCAAAATGTTTCCCAATTCCGTCTTGATGTCCAATACACCATGCTGAAGTACAATGAGCATGTCGCCGTCCGACGAATACATCGCAGTTTTGGCGTCCATGCTCTTTCCAGCAGCGAAAATGAAGATACCCAGGCCAGTTTTCATCGCTGGATCACCAGCACCACCAACGGGCCTCAGACCGCTAATCCAATCGGTATCATTGCTGATGTCGAACGGATCCCAGCGAAGTTGATTGGGGATCTGGTGGATCTGACCCCCAGGTTTGGGGCCATTCTCTCGCAGCGGCTCAAAAGAGGAGTGGGACGCAGCAGGGATGATGCGGTAAAGCCATGTCTGCAAGTTCTCATGTCGCGGTGCTGTAAACGCTGTGCCCGAGAGCTTCTCTGCATACAGGCCATACGGAGCTTTCTGGGGCGAGTTCGCTCCAATTGGCAGTGCACCCTTTATGGCTTCTGATCTGGAATAACATTAGTGATATTCAAGATGTAGATATGCCAGACCACCGGGTCGGACGTTGCGATATCTTGGATACTTACTCATGGAAGGAGTCAAAGCCGTTCAGATATTCGTACTTCTCTTTGACGGAGAAGTCGGTGACTGGCATGGTGGAAGAAGTACTTGAACTTGGAGGAAACGGATTTTGTGACCGAGGGGTAACAGACGGATCTAGTGACGGCGGGAGCGAAAAGATGATCTCCAAGGTAAGATGGACCAGTCGCTGTAGGCCAGGATGAGAATTCAGCAATAATTATCGCGATAAGTTTGCTGCAATAGCCTCTTTGACAATGAAGCTTTGCCCTCTTTTCACATCGACCGTATGCAGAACAAGTCGACCTTAAAACTCATGTCTCCACAGGACCGAGACTGAGAGTTTGCGCATTTTCACATCCAAAGCCGAGTGCATTACCGGCTGCTACAGTAAACGACAGCAAATCGCTTCTACGGAAGAAACGGAAAGTATTTCTCGGGGTGACGAGGACGCCTCGCGGGGTCCGTTGGGTGAATCGAGATCTCGGAAGTTCGGAACGCAACCACTTCCGAGGTTGCTTAATCACCACAAGAATCCACAAGCCCTTGAGAAGTCATGTTCGCTATCTCAAGTTGCCAAATTTAGTGCATACATAGACACAGAGAACGCAAAGACATTCCCATCGTTACGCAAGGGGATTATGTGGGCAAAACCCCTTCAAAGCCTTGTGGCGTCAAGCAACTAACTAACTTGGAAGCGTCTGAAAAAGCTGTGCAACCGTAAAAGCCCGAACAAGAGATTTCCGTCTCCAAAGATTTATCCCGGATAACTTCCGTTGTTTGAACTTTCGAATGGGTTTTATTCATGGGCTATATGAAATGCTCACACCATCGGTAACGATTTCAGTTTGTACCTTCCCAAGACGTGTGGTCCCTAAGCCTAGAGTCTAATGCCTATGCGACGACCGCACTTAACATGCATCCTAAGGGAAAGCTTCTCTAAGTTAGAATGTGTGACGTCTTTCTTTAACCTCATGATACTCTGCTGGCTCATATGAGCTATGAAATTGCCCTTTTCGTCCCAAATACGTGACTCCGCAAACGTCCTGTTCCCACCTCCCCTGATGGCATTCCTCTCCACAATGTGCCAATTCTCAAAGTTGACTTCTTTTGTAAAGAATCTCAGCGCCACGTCAATTGAAGAGCAGGCTGTGACGTCTTGAAACCACATGTGATCATGAGTCAACGGAACGAACGAACATGTGCCATCCATGAGAAAGGCAACTGCTGCAAGGTTCTCGTTTGAGAAACGCAACGGCGACCGTGAGCGGGACCACTCAGCGGATCTTTTCAAAGTCACTGGTAAGTAATCCTGGGTTGTTGGTACTTTGGAAGCCACCCCAGAAAGATTCTGTCCGGACACGCCGTTTGGGCGAATTCGTGTTTCGATAAATTTTTCATGTTGACGGAGAATTTGACGGTATTCTTTGAGCTCATTATCGCTCGCAGCACCTCTGGCCTGTAGGTTTGAGAGGTTGTCAAAGCCAGTAGGACAGTCCTCGGGTTTCGGCCAAGCCAAGACGGGACTAGCGGAGTAGTCTAGGGACGATGGCTCTTGGGTATGGAAGTCAACTAAAACATCTAGGCAAGTACGAGACGTGCCGTCGGGTTGTTTCTGGTGAACCCGAACTCGTCTAGTTGAAAATGACCGCGTGTCTCTGGTGCTTTCGACGGTGCAAAGAAGCTTTTGTTGGGGGAGGCGGGCCCATGAAAATGTCCAACAACTGAGTAGAGGTCAAGGGAGGATTTAGTGGTCGCACAGGCTGCGCTTACAGCGACAGAGAGGGAGCATCCACCGTAAGCGACAGGTCTGGCATTGGCCATGCGCATGGGTAGCGTCTGAGAAATGAACTCGCCGTGACCAACACTTTCCACGCCTATTTATTCTGAAAAAGAGGGACTCATTGTTTTTGAAGCAGCTGCTTGCGCGAAAGAAAGATATGTCGACGAGAGGTAGACGTAGTTGGAAGGGGCACATACTTGTAGCGACTTTGAAAATGCTGAGATGCCTAATCGGGGAATACGACCTCGGCTGGTTTGGGATCGGCGGCGAGCCTGGCAGCCGTCGACCGAGGTTTCACGCTCCAAATCATATGAGATGTTCTGTACACGGGCATACCCGTTGTACTCGCGGGCGTATCCAATTGTACGTCTCCTCTTTTTTTCTTTCCGATCATGACACCTTTTAGCATGGATTCAATAGTTGATTCTGCATCCCTACCTTATTTAGAGATATGATTGCTAATCCACAACTCCAAATCCCAATGCCACACGCACCGTGCAGCTCCGACTACTGATCTTGGGGAGACATCAAACTCGTCGTCATGTGAACTGACGAAGTCAAATAATGCCTTAGGTATCACATGTCTACCGTGATTAAGCTCTGTAGTCTAATTTTTGGGGTACCGGGTAGGAATTACCACGCGTTCCCTAATCTTGAGAGTCCTAATGTGAATCTTCTAGAATGCTATCGGTGCCAAAATTTGGCCAGAACACTCTCCAAATCCGACTAGCTCGCCGTCTGCTCCACCAGCCCAGCCCTTGATGACAACTGTATCTCCGTCTTGGAGAAACTTACGTTCTTGTCCACCATTCAACTTGATAGGGACCTTGCCGCCTTGCGACTGTTCTAAGAGGCTTCCTTGAGTGCCAGGTTCAGACCCAGAAACGGTCCCTGAGCCAAGCAAGTCCCCTGCACGAAGGTTACAGCCTGAGATTGAATGATGTGCTACCATCTGGGGCCAAGACCACAAAAGGTTCTTCGCAGAAGTTCGAGTGAGAATGGTTTCCTCACCTCCTGAGGCTAAATCAAAAAAAGCGACTCGGTTAGTCTCCATTTCATGTGAGTTAAGGATTGCGAACGTACCAGACAGAGAAACCTCCAAGTTGATGTCCAGAACATTTTCAGCTCGGTTTTCTCGCAAGTATGATTGCAGCTGCACATCATTCGGCAGTCCTTTCGTTCGGAACGGCTCCAGCGCATCAGCGAGCACCACCCAAGGGCTGATTGAGGTGCCAAAATTCTTCGCATTGAATGGGCCAAGGGGAACGTATTCCCACTGCTGAATATCCCTTGCGCTCCAGTCGTTCATCAACACATATCCAAAGATATACTCCTCAGCCTCGTTGACAGGGATCGGACTTCCAAGATTGTTGGGCTTGCAGATGAACATGCCCATCTCAAGCTCAATATCGAGACGCGCACAAGGCCGGAAGACCGGCTCGGTGGCGCCGGGTGCCGGCAAGGCCTGTCCCCACGGCCTCCGGAGCGGGGTGCCGGAGACTACAACGGAACTGGCTCGGCCGTGATAAGCGACCGGCAGGTGATTGTAGTTTGGCTGCAGTGCGTTGGCCGCTCCGCGAAACAGGGTGCCGACGTTGTGCGCGTGATTGCGCCCGGCGAAAAAGTCCGTGTAATCTCCTATCGCAAAAGGGAGATGCAAAGATACTTCCGATACAGGACGCAAAGCCGATTTCTTCAGGGCGTCGTTGTCCTTAAGGATGTCTGGGTGAGGGGTGCTGTCTTGAAAGACCTCTTGCAAGTACGACCGGACGATTCGATGTACTGGCCGTCCCAATTCCGCAAATGAGTTGAGGGTAGGCTGCGAAAACACTTTCAATTGATCTGCCGAGAGCGTAGGCGCTTTGCGAAAGCCACCGCCTTGAGCGAATGCGTCTAGGTCAAGAACATGGTCCCCAATAGCAACAGCCGGGCGATGCTGCTGCTTTTCCTTGCTGGATATCACCCCGAAAGGGATGTTTTGGGGCGAGAAGTGAGATCGTGGGGCAATTGGTAGCCAGGACTTCATCTTGAGAATAGCTTGGGTTGCACAACCACGACGGATGAAATGCATTAGATACTGCGTTGACAATCTATATCAAAATCTCAACTTTTTATTCAGAGATCAGAACTGTGAATATCATACGTCGCAGACGGAAGCCACTGCGACCCTGCGATTCCGAGTCTCGGAGCAAAGTCCGTTTCCGAAGTCTCGGAACGACAAACGCCCCTCAAGCCCCTCTCGCAAGTGTAATGCTGAGCTGCAATGCAGAACCTCGGCAATTGCGCGTTCGACGTCTTTGGTGACATTGAAACCATATCTAATCTTGGCCTTGATGTTAAATGCTTTTGTGTACACATTTGTCTTGAGAATGTCCACAGACATACCAATCCTCCACCATCCTTTAAGCAGCACAGCCAGCCTAAACTCTCTTCAACACCGTTTGTAGCAAGATAATCTTTCAAAATGGCGGAAAAGATCACTAGAATTACTCTTTTCAAAATACCTGACGAGGAAAGTCAGAAGAAAGTCTTGGGATTTTACCAGCAGATGCCACAGAAAGCTCTCAAGGTAAGAGCTTTTCCGTCCAAGCCTAATTCTCATCTTCACTTCGGCAAAGATGCGCGACTTAGCCTTCAAAACACAAACCAAGTCGCTAACGTACCGCAGGACGGAAAGCCCTATATCTTGTCTGTAAAAGCTGCTTTGGCCGTGGCTGATCAAAGAGCGCAAGGGTTCACCATAGCCGCCATCTCTACATTTGCATCTGCCGAAGATATGGGCTATTACGACAATGAGTGCGCAGCGCACGCAGAGCTAAAGGCTTTCGCAAAGGGGGCTCACCGAGGATTTGCAATGGTTTATTTCAAGGATTGAGCTATGTCATTATTACCGCCAAGAAAAGAATCTTAGATCCAGAAGGGAATGCCAACCCCAGGAATCAGATTCTAACACACGTATCTGAAACTCTTCTTCTCCCAGTCCGTGAGGTCTTCCATGCTTTCCCCTACAGAGATTTCGCCTGGGACCACCTCACCATAAGCCTCGTCTCTCCTCCGATTATCATATTTGACTCCGACGTAATACACAGTCATGAGCACCACGGCACTGCTCTCGAATCCCAAGATGCTGTTGTAACCAGTGGCGTAATGCGGTGCTTCACTAGCACGAAATGTCTGTGGCGCAATAATGTTGGCTACACAGTATGCCAGAAACACCATCGCGTTTACCGTCACCTTCTTCGTGTGCCCACTCGTGTTTGCCATAGGCAATCTAAGCGCAACGGCATAGGGACCCCAGAAGAAGTAAAAGAAGTATTACGCGGTAAGCAGACCAGCCTTGTTAGAAGAGGGTAGTTCGCGAATGACGATGCTGCACACAAGGGGCACGATGCAGCAAGCGGCAGCCGAAATGCATCGGGTGTCCTTGATGTAGCGAGGGGGAATCGTGGCGAGGATGGAAGAAACTGCCTGGATGACGCCGGTAGGCATACCAAGAAGAACTGTCTTGAGTGGGTCAAACCCAAAGCTGGACACAATCTGCGCAGAGAAGGTATTGAGTCCACCGTTGGACACATTCATGCACAGGAAGAACAAGCACACAACCCAAGACTTCCAGTCGATGAGGGCCTCGCAGACTTGGTACCACTTAAACTCCTGCCGAGCATGGTTAGTACTGCGCCTTAGTTGATTGAGGCTCACACTAACCTTGTTTTCGATGCCAGTGTTGTCGTCAAGCTTGCGGTGCACCGCGATGTATGCTTCTTTTGCTGATAAGAACTTGCCTTCTTCGGGTCTATCAGGAAAGAGAAAGAACATGAGTATAGAAAAGATGAAGCTAATGCCACCTAGAACAATGAAAAGCAGACGCCATGAAGCTATAGCCAGGGTGCTGTTTCCAATGCCATAAGAGACAAGCCCAACGTATACCTGGAAGTGGTTAGCTTTATTCGCACGAACAAGGCAAAAATCTGACGTACCGAGGCAACTGTTGAACTCCAGATGGCCACGCGCAATGGTTGTTCTTTCTTCCGCCACCACATGACGGTGATCAGAGTCAATCCAGGTAGCGCTGGCGCTTCCCACATGCCCATAAAGAATCGAAGCGCCATCAGACCGGCGGCGTTGTGGGTGACGGCCATGAGCAGCGTCGTGACAGACCAACCCATGGCTGTAATTGCAAGAAACTTGCCGATCGGAAACCGAGCCATCAGATTTACAGCTGGGAACTCAGCTACAAGGTAGCCAAAATAGAAGATGGAGCCGACCCAGCTGTACTGCTGACCAACCAGATTGTTGTCTTTCAACATGCCGTAGAGAGCTGCGTTCGAGATGATGACTTTCTGATATTTCGGATAATTAGCATTGCTTGATATATTTTTAGATTCCGGTAACCAAAGTTGTCTTACGTCGACTGCCGAGAGAACAGCATAGCCCCAAAGAAATGGCATGATGCGCCAATCGACTTTACGCACTAAGCGTTTGACATCGCTGGCGTCATAGTCGAAACGCTCCTCTATCGTCCCCGTAACTTGCGACTTTGCATCCTCTTTCACGTCGTCCGGGCCGTCGCGGAGTGACCCTGAAGCACGGCGGCTGTTCATTTTCATTATCGATAACAAACGCAACCCAAAGTGATCATAAGTGTAGCTTTCCGTGTGATGGTACTACCAGATGATTCTGGCTTGTCTGGATGAGGGCGACTTGTCGATAGATATCAGCTCCACCGTGTTGCTGCTGGCCAACGCGAAGGGTAGTAGGATGTGTGTGCCCCGTCCCATTCCCGGCATTGGAGTATTGATGCTTATCTAGGCTTGGGTAGCGATTGTGGCGCTAGTCGGACAATATGCGACAAAGTCCGCCTCTGTGCAGGGATATCGCATCAACCCCATGCTCCAGTTCATGATGACTTAGAGGCTACAATTTTGTCGATTGTGTCGGACATGAAGTCACAGTCTGGTGAGACTAAGTCCACATCGGGCGTGGGACTTATTTTTCAGATTGAAGATTATATGTCACGCCGACGAAATCGAGAAAACCACATTGGAAGATGTAAATCCGACTTTGTCACATTATTCTTATCTTTGCACCCACTCAATTCAAGGGTGAGAAGCATGCGAGTGGAAGCTTCATTGATGAGGCACTTCTTTCAACTACGACTTTGGTACTCGAAGGTTCGCTTCTAACCTAAGAGACTGAATTAGTCCATCTGTCGTCTTGAAAGTTCTTCTAGAAGATAGCAATTAAGACATATGTTCGTTATGCTCGTACTGAATCCACTGCGTCTCCTCCACTGATGGCGACGTGAACGGCACCCGCCCCTTACGCATAGTTTTGAGCATGTTGATTACTTTCTGCTGCACCTTCAGATCCTCCAGTTCAGTTACTAACAGCTGTAGGTTAGCCGATTGAGGAGGCGTGATAGACCATGATTGAGATGGGTCGCCGAACTCCACGACAGGCACAGCCTCCATCAGCAACTCAAAAACGTCACGAAAGACCTGGGCAGAGCTCCACTTGCTTGCAAAGTCAATCAAAGTCGCAAGACAGGCAAACAACGCTTGGCAGACCGGGCGGCGATCGTATAGCGCCATTTGCTGGTGTGTAGGCGTCGCCCACAGGCAAAAGACCACGCCGACTCCAGCTTGGAACTGGTGAAGAAGCTAAACAATGTTAGCAACTGAATCTTATGGTGATTTTCCAAACATACTGCAGTCCGAGTATAGCATGTAGTGTGATCTCTGACCCGGAACCTCCGAAAGGATACGAGAACGGAGCAGGCTGCAGTCACAAGGTGTCTCGAGTCCCCTCCTCGAATGGCCAAGTATGGGTTCGGGAACAACGAAATGGCTGTATAGTTGGCCAGCTTCTGTAGCCATGCGCTCGATTGAAACTTTCTTTGACGCTCCGCAGAGTCAGACAGGGAGTCAATATCGTGGATCCAACGATCTAAATCATGCCGAGGCCACGAACGCCATAAGTTGGGGACGGGATGGCCTTCCCTTTGCGCATCATGTTCCAATCTCCGCGTAATCTTTAGGATACGGTACTGAATCCGACGAAGCTGGAAAATGTGTTCTTCCAGGGCAACATCTGCTGGCGAAGGAGCAGCCGAGTTGAACTCGAAGGGATTATCGAGCCTGAGTTCTTCAGAAGACACAGAGCCGTCTAGCTCTGACCTGTTATCGTCATCCACCGATGAGTTTTCCAAGCAAAGGCTATGTTCCACCGTGTTAGATATGATAATATCTATTACGAGACATGTCCTTGTAACCATTTTCCGAACGACGTCGTCGATGCGATGCTGTTGAATTGAAGGTGCTTTTCGCCGTGATCTTTGATACGAGAGGTCCGATAATGCACAGTTCTTCACTGATTCTGACGCGCAATCGAAGAGGTCTCGGACGGAGTTGAGATGCATCGCGTGCACAGTCAGTAGTAGAGATGGCTGCGTACGCAAAATAGGCGATGACTCTTGGATCTCATAAGACCTGTACTTCGCCATGGCTCGTTGAAAGGATGCCCGAGAAAGGTCCAGGTGTTCGGAAGAGGGGTCGATCCATGAACCAGCAGAGCGCCAATAGAAAGCACCATGTCCACGAAGAAAGTCTGCGAGCCTGGTGAGTTCATTTGTCTCGCCGTGCCAGACCAATACTTCCACCAGTCCTCCCATTGCTGGCGATGTAAGAACGGCCACATGGGGTGAGCACTTGTGAAGTATTCCTTCACACAGCGAACAGCAACTGACAGAGGCAAGTATGACTCGGTCAGCCGTTCTTCTTGGATGGCGAGCTGAAGAGAAGGTGCGCCGGGTTCCGTGTCTTGGATGTCATCGGCCTCGAACGTTGTGGGTTCTAATTGAGATTGATCCGTCATGCGGTCTCGTGGAGGGTTTGTTAACGGTGAGATATCTCTGCCGCTCAATGCTGCAAGATCGAAGTCGATGGCTTCATCGAATGTCCCGAGCACCCAATCCGGAGTTGCCACTGGGCCGGCACCGGGTGTATCAGTGGGAGAAGCAGGCCCGGCGACATCCAGTGACCCATCTGAAAGTCTGCTCAACAGATTCAATGGAGGCACAGCATCATCTGCTATCAAATCCATCGAGGCTGGGGTGTTGACAGGTCTTGCTCTGGGGTCGCTCAGAAAATGGTCACCAGCAATCGACGGATTGGACTGTCGGAGGCGAGTTTCAAGTGTCGCTATATGTTCCTCGAGCAGATGAATGTATCTAATGGCCAATGACTATGAGAACTCCATTGCCTGCATGATACAGTAGGTTGCTTACCCAGCTGGAAGTGTGGTCATGGCAGACTTCTTAGGGGCGAGTGGCACACATTCTGGACACAAGATCGAGTCAACTTCAGTGATGCGGCTAATGGAAATGCCTTCCACTCTCACCTGCACCGGACCTGGCACATTCGCCGCACAGCGGGCGGCGTTTATCACACTAGCATTTTGTCAGCTTTGGCACCACAATTGCGCATCAATGTGATTTCCCAACCTTCTTCTTACGGCGACGACAGCGACAGCAGGCAATCTCACGTTGAGCGCGTAGCCACGGGATACCGTACAGCGTCTGGCTCATTTTTGCTGTATTGTTCTGCGATGAAGCATAACTCATGACCATAAGCGTGACATGGCTCCGAATGTCTCACTGCCGCCGGTCTCAACCTCCGCACTCGATATCCCGATTAGGCGACTGAATCAGTCATCCGCTCCGGATGGATCCCTTGACTTGTCTTATCTCGGCAGTTCCCCGCCGTTATCAACACCGGCCCCACGGCGGACTTAATGTGCGATGTCCGCTGTGCCGCTGTCGAGCCGATGTGTGGAGGTATTCTCCCACCTTATTTATATCTGTTCGGTACATTTCGGCAAGGTTTAACTGGGTATTGTCTTATCAAGGGTATTATCTGTCTTCGAATTCTCAGCCAGCCAGAACTTAACCGACCGAGACAACACCCCAGGATCACCATGACGGTAGTAACCCCACGCCGCAGACTCCGGATTGCGGTCCTCTGCTGCTTTCCTATTCCCGAGAACATTGCGAAAGATAGGGGCCAATTTGACGACATTTTCGCCAGCTGGATTCTAGCATCTGTCAACGCGTACAACGCTAAAAGGCCGAACGGCCAAATTATTGCCGAGGTTACTGGCTTCGATGTGATTCTCAAAGACGAGTATCCATCGCCAGTGGAAGATTTCGATGCCCTCATCGTCACTGGTTCCGTGGCTTCAGCATATGATGATGAGCCGTGGATTCACAAGCTAGCTGCCTTCCTCCGAGGTATGTCTTCGAAGATGTTGTCCAGCCATGGTTTACAATCACTGACCAGCCGCAGATGTCTATGAGAACTCTCCGAATGTGAAAATATTCGGGGGATGTTTTGGCCACCAACTCACCGGCCAGGCCTTTCTATCCAAACATGGCGCTCGGGTAGTGAAGAACCCCAAGGGTTGGGAGATTGGGGTTCATCAAGTGTCGCTTTCAGAGGACTTCGCATCCCATTTCCCTTGTCTGAAGGGCGACACCGTCTCGTACCAGTTTCTTCACCAAGATGTGGTACAACTGGATGGACCACTGCCTCCGAACTGGGTGCAGATGGGCACATCTCCCTTGTGCGAAGTTCAGGGATTCTTGGTGCCGGGCCGGGTGTTGACCTACCGGGGGCACCCGGAATTTGATACTTTCATCAACAAATGGAGCACATTAGCCGTGCAGCAATCTGGGATGATACCCGACGATGAGAAGATGAAGGAGTATTTGAGACTTGTAGATCAGGATGATACAAGGTTGCTGGCTGGCGAGATGGCCATCCAGTTTTTCTTGTCGCAGCCGACACTTGTAGAATAGAAAAGAGTACAGAAGTTGTAGAGTCGTGTGGAGATTTATCTTGCAACATTCCATCCCTAAATTAAAGGCCGCCTGAATGATGTATATGAAATGTTAAAACTGAATCATGAAGACTTCTTATTTCATGTATATCTACTACGTAAATAAGCGGTTCAGATGCGATTCCACGTCCAGGGATACCTTCATACGAATCAACATTTAAGGATCGATTCTGCTTCGGCTGGCATTCTGGCCCCAGCAGGAGGAGAGCTGCGAGACTTGAACTCATCGCAAATATCTTCCATCTTCACAAACTCCACACCAGCTTCGTCATCAAATATTGAATCACCCTGACTAGCCATTAGTACAAAGGCTGAAACAAATCTCTTCCAGAGGTATTACCTTTCCAGAATCTTTAGTGCATGAGGGTGCCCCGAAACATCGGGGTGAATTGTGACTGGGAAACAAAATTGTCATAGTTCTCGTAGAAGAAGTCGAAGTGGTCCTTCCACAGATCCTCGACAACCGATGGATGCACCCAGCCATGGCTGTTCTGCACATTCTTAATGAACATCTGCATGTGTTAGCGCCTGTGTTAGACAGGGTTCATTCCATTTCGCTTACCATTGGAGGCAGATCATCCAGATACCAGCTTGCAGGAATCTCCACTAAGCCGGTCTCCTCACCTCTCACCAGCGGCTTCATCCATGTATCTGGATGCTTCGAGTAGTCAATCTTGGTCCATTCGTCCCCGACACGCAGCCAGTAAGGTATCGCGTCGTGATGAGAGAACGAGTGATCGTATTCAAGACCTTTCCCAGAAATAAGTCTTCATGGAAGTTTCAAAGCCATTATCTTCGGGGTCTTACCATACTCCAACATGAGCTCGGCGCCTTCCTTGGGAGTCTCCCACCACGGGACTACTGAGCCTCTAGGAGGCTTGCCACAGAACTCCGTGACAAGTCGGTACGTCTTGTCAAGGACCACTCGTTGCTGTTCAACTGTCATCTCCTTCGGATTCTCGTGCGAGTAACCGTGCAGACCAATTTCATGGCCGGCATCCCTGATAAGAGCACACTCTTCGGGGAACGTCTCTAAGGTGTGGCCGGGAATGAACCAAGTTGTTTTGATATTGTACTTCTTGGAGAGGTCTAGCAGACGCCGGACTCCAACAGTACCAGCGAAGTAACCTATTCATCCAGTGTAAGTATCTGGAAGCCATCACGTCAATAGAATAGTGAATACCTCGTGAGATGTCAGAAACGGATTCTTCGCCTCCGTATGATCCGATCCAACCGCAAACAGCGTCAATGTCGACGGAAAAGCAGCAAAGTGCCTTGGGTGCCATCTTGAATAGTGATGTAGTAAGTCATGTGCTGCATCATACCCAAAGGTGTGCCAAATCTGAGCATAGCAAATCATAGCTTATGTATGCACGGTATCAAAGCATGAGGTTGGGCTATTGGATGGCCTGTCGGACTTTTGAGCTCTTGTCCGAATGATGTGGGGCATTCAGGACAGCTTCATCAAGTGCGCTCAGCCCGATTGCAATGAGATAAAGAAGCACGGGGCATGATCAACAGACTGAGGCCTGAGACACTCGCTGTTCATTCTATCGATCATATACAGAACTTTCCAATGGATCTGGCACCTGAAGCACTTGCGGCGCACTCTTTTGGGTATGACCCCTCGGCGTTGGACAAGCCTTTAGTCGAGTTTCTTCAACGTTTCTACACCTTCTCTGACGATAAAGAGAACGCAAATTCGTGGGCCGAATGCTTCGCCGAAGATGGCGTCATGAAAAAGGCAGCAACTAATGTTCAGGGTCGCGACAGTAAGTATCCCTCTAGCTGTGATGCGGGACAAGCAATACTGATTGCCAGCGCCCGGGCAGAAATAGCTGAGGTAAACCTCGGCTCCTGGAAGGGTTAGGCATCCAGAAAGCACACTGTTTTCAAGGTTTTCCCTTTTAGCCCTAGTAATGCCAACGAGGTGATGCTCCATGGACAGAGCAATTACGTCTATGACGATGGGACGACGGGCGAGATGGGATGGGCAGCAAGGCTCCATTTCCCACGATTTGATGATGGAAGAATACTCATCGACACGTATCATATCTTTCCTGTAGGTATCCCCAACTATTTGTTGAGTCATAGCTTACAAGTGCTCAGAGTGCTCCTCCGCGAGCATCTTGATTGTGTGAAGGTGATGCTGGGTTGGTTTACCCATGCGGGTTGCTAGAGAGAAATATTTTGCCACGTAAAATAGACAAATCTTCACAACTATGCTCCCCCTCGACCTTGATGCACGTTTTATGTCCTTTGTACCTCCGATCGCTTAAGGATGTGCTGACTTCACGTTACTCTGTGACGCTGGATTTGCTGGTACGGCAGTCGCCCAAATTCTACATAGTAGAACTGTACTTAAGCAAGCCATTCAAATTCGATCGAACTAAACGAAATTCATTGCAACTCCGTGTGGGCCCTTCCCACCTAGTGTGGAAGAGGCTCTTAACTAACGTTGTCTGCTCACTGAACTACAATAGCTCCAGTGAATGTCTCCCGATCGAGTGGCATTGCTAGTCACACATCCGCTAGGCGCTTCTGGCCTACATAATTAAAACATAGATAAGATATATATAATTATTATAGAGATCGCTTAAATAATATATATTTATAGTATTTTCGTTCTAACTATTTAAGCTTTAAAGCTTTTAAACGTATATTTAAAATTATTTAGAAAGTGAAGATATATAGCTTAATATAGATATAATACGAAATATATATTGAAAACTATATAAAGAAAGCTATTTTACGTTTAAAGTTAAAAAATAAAGTAATTCGCCTATGTTATTATATTTTTTAAGATATTTTAGTATTTGTTTAAAATAATCTTAAAAGCTTTTTATATTTTAATTATTAAAGATAAATATTTAAATAAGCTATAAAGTTTCTTTTCAATATGTTATTTATTTAAAGAAGTTTTAATAATATTTTTCTATTTGAAATAATAAATTAGAAAATAATATAGATTAGTAACTTATATTATATATTAAAATCATAAAATAGTAGTGATTATTAATAATAATAGTATATATTATTAATATTAAATAAAGAATAATAAAGTTATATTTCAAACGCTTTTAGTAGATTTAAAAAAGCTAGTTAGTAGTTTAGAACGTACTAACTAAGAAATAATCATAAGAAGTATTGAAACATAAAGAAAAGTTGAACTTCTTCTAAATATATAACTAGAATTAACTTTTATAAAGATTTATCTTTTTAACTAATCTTTATAATAAAAAACTAATTAGAAATTACTAAATTAAATTGAAAAAGAATAGTATACTTAATATTTCTATTAACAAGTCTTTTTGTATATATTTATAATTGAGAGAGAGTTTTGGCTATATTAGGAATAGATATATATATATAGTTATTATATATATCTGTTTAAAAAGAAATAAGAAAAAGAATAAAAAAGAATATATTACAAAGTATATCTATAAGAATATATTAGATATTTAGCTAGATATACTAATAATATATATAACTTATATAAGATCTAAATACTTATACTTAAAAGAGTAATTATAATATATAATGTATAATTTAATAAGTTAAAGTTTTCCTTAGAAGAGGATAAATATATAGTAATACTAATTAAACTTATGTATTATATTATTAACTAGAAACTAAAACTTAAAATATTTTTAAATTTAATATTTAAACTTCTAAATATATAGAAATAAGTTAATAAGATAATAGAAAACACTTTTAAAAAGCAAAACACCTTAGTTATATAGCTATAAAATATTATAATATATTAGAAAACCTAGAAAGAGGTTTTAAGAAGTCTTTTTATTTCTAAATAAACTTTAAAACCTTAAGTTATAATTAAAAACTAAAGAGAAAAAGCTAATATACTAAATATATATAATAATAAATCTAATAAATAAATTTAAAAAGTTATAAATATTTTTAAAAAAAGGTAATAATGTTCATATTACTATTAATAAAAGTTAGAGTAAATATAATAAACTTTAAATTTAATTTAAAATAATAGTATTAAATATAAATAAAGAGAAAATAATATTAATACTTCTTAAGAACCTTTTTAAGTTAAAAGATAGAATATATAGAGTTATAGACTAAATATATATAATAAAAAGCTTAAATAAAACTTTTAAAAAAAGCTTATAATTAGAAAAAGTATAGAAAAATAAATTACTTAAGCTAATATAATTAATAACTTCTAAAGCAATTTAGAGACTTTATTTTATTTATTAATAATATCTTAAAGACTTATTCCAAAGTTATTAATAAGAGAAATAATTTAGAATAGCTATTCTCTAAGATTAAATACTAAAAGAAGTTATTCCTAGTAAAAACTAATACGCTTAAAAAGCCTTTTTTATAGTATTTATGTTTAATACTAAAAACAGTGATAAAAAAGGTTTTTCTCAATATATAACCCTTTATTTCTATATATAAAATTATATTAGAAGTTAGAAATAGAGATACAATAACAAGGATTTAAAATAAGATATCTATATATTTAAGTTCTAATTACCTCTTTAAAACTAAAAAAATCTTCTAATATTTCTAAAATATCTATATAAGCGTTTTATAGAGATAATAAACTTAAACTTAAGAAATTATGAAAAAAAGAATATAATAAGAAATTAATTAATAATCTATATAATTAAAACCTCTATTTCTAAAATAAGTTTTTATATATAAAATTAACATAATTAATAATTTAAAACGTTTTAAATCTAAGACTTACATATAAAGAGACCTCTAGAAAAATAGTGTTTTAGAAAATATGTATATAGTAATTTTTACTATAAGAACGTTTTATGTTATAATAGCTTTAGTTATTTAATTTAGTTTTTAAATATAATAATTTAATATAGATAATACTTTTTTAAATATAAAGAGGAATGTAAATAAACCTCTAATTAATTATTAACTCTTAGAGGGCTTTAAATAAAATAAAAATATCAAGTTTAATGAAGCTTTATATAGCTTTAAAAACATATTTCTCTTATAGTATAAGTATTTCTTAGTAACTCTAAAGAAGTTAAAACATATTTTAAACTTAGAAAAGTATATCTTTTCTAAATTCTTAAACGTTAGGTTTTAGTTTTATCTTATATAAATTTTATTTTATTTTATATTATTAAGATTATTTCTCTAAAGTAAAATAAATTATTAATAAGCTAAAAGCTGAATATAAATTTAAAGATTAAAATACTATTAAGTATTATTTTAATATTTAAATAGTTAGAGATTATATAGCTTGAACAGTTTATTTAATACATAATTTATATATTAAAAAGGTTATTAAGCGTTTTAAGTTTTAAAACGGAATATAATTTATAACTTTGTTACTTTTTGAAATAAAAAATAAGCTTTTTTTTTATATATATAAAAAAAATATTAAACCAAAATTAGTTTTATATTTTATTTAGTAATAATAATATATCTAAATATAGCTTTTATAACTATATATTTTTTATATTTCTTTATAAACTTTTTATTAGCTTATATAATAGTAGTTAACTAAATAATCTAATACCTCTATATGATATATTCCTTTACCTTTTACTTTAGAAATATAAAAAATATATAAACTTTTTAAATTATAAATAATACTTTATTTACTAATAATAAAGAAATATAGAGATTAGCTAAAAGATATATCATATTCCTTTTTAGAGATATAATATATTAGAAAGCTATATATTAAAATATTATTATAATATCTATAACAGAAATAAAGCTTTTGAGCTTTAAAAATACTACAAAAAGGTAATAATACTTACAAACCTTTCTAAAATATAGCGTTAAATATAAGACAAAACGCTTAGAAAGTAAATCATAGTAATTAATAGATAATCTAACTTATACTTAATAATAAATAATATATTATAATACATTTCTATTATATAGATATCTAAAATATATAGTTATAATAGAAGTTTTAAAAAAGTAATTTTAATATAGCTTATTACCTATAAACTTAATACTTACTAATATTTTTATAAAAAGCTTTTCTAGAGGTAAATTTAAATATTTTTATATACTACTAAACCTAATAGATACATATATACTTATTATAAGAGACATAAAATAAGAATATTAAGAAATAAAGTAATACAATAGCTAAAAAGTTTATATTTAGCTTTATAACTAAAAAGTTTAATTTAGTTTATAAAAGCTTAAAAATAAGTCTAAAAATAGCTAAAAATAAATATCATTTTAAACTAAAACTTTATATATATAATAACCCCTTAAACTTAATAATAAAGCTTAGCCTTAATAAGTATAAAAAAGTAACAAT